AAAATGTTATTCTTATTTCTTGAATCAAAAAATTTTTTTAATGATATTTTTAAATTAAAAAACAATCCCACTTCTTAAAGACTTAAATGTATTATGTATCATAATTTCTAGTTTAATGATTTTTGAAATTACAACATTCATAGAAGGGCATTTCCCAAGTGCACACACTGTTTCCCATTTGCATTACAGCATTATTACGTCCGCAGATCTCTGATATCTCGGGAAAAATACAATTGCCCTTGTACAAAAATTTTACGAAATAAATTGCTTTTGCTGCCGCTTTTCTTTCTTTAATAAAAACCAAAAAAAAAAAGAAAAAATTAAATAAAAAGTTTATGTTGTATACATAAAAAAGTCAATTTATTACAAATTTCCACAAGTTCCTTTCTAACTTTGAAACTAAACTTCCAAACTACGCACTGAAATAAAACAGAATCCGACGTTTGAAGGACATTTTTTGTAGGGTGCAATTTTTATGCTTTCCCCGTTACATTTGCTACTCACATTTTTTTAAGTTGACGTAAACTGTGCCTGCCTCTCCCAGTTCATCAACGGCAATGAAGCCCAACCATTTTCGTGTTATCCTTGGAACGGAAACTAAAATATGCGAGCGCAAAAATGGCTGTGGTGGTGCGCTGATGCGTAAATATGAACGAGCACACACGGCTTCCGCAGAAAAATAAAAGGAAAATAATAAAAAAATAACAGATTAAAATCAAAATGGCGCACAGTCATCAGCAGTTTTTAAAATAACTTGAACGTTTTTTTGTGCTCTACAAAATTTCGGTGGGTTAATTTAACAACTCAACAAACATTGACTTAGGTCAGGGGCACAACTGTTCAAGTGTACATAAAATATGAGTTGACTACAAGGATTACAAGAATTATATGTTATAATGATTGGATTGTATAAAAACAACATATAAAAACTGATATATAGTTTATAACATATTGATATATGGTTTATCATTAGTTTCTGTAGCTCCTTAATTCTAAAATTAAGGAGCTTCTGCTAGTCGATTCTCTTTATTCCAACAGCATCTTGACTAATTTGTCTTCCTCAATATAATATGGCACCAGATAACCTCAAATCTTCCTAATATGCCGACAAGTTTCGCGAGGTGATCTGATTTGGTGACTTAAAAATAAATCAATGAGATATAAGTCGTTAATGATTTGTGCTAGAAGGTACTGTTCATTCCAGCAGCATCCTGATTACTTCGTCTTCCTCAAGAGAATATGGCATCACATATCCTTAAATCTATAAGGCAGCAGCATACTGCCTTATAGATTTCATCTCATATATTCTATACTATAAACTTGCAAACTATTTATTTAATGACGAAAAATAAAATCAGTTATGTGACCTAAAACCTAACCTAAAAATAGGTTATCTATCTACTCAATTTTTAATAGATAAACCCTACAAAATTATAGTTTCTTTTTTATAAATTTATTTTTATAATTTTAGTAGGGTTGAATACTATATGTACGACCTACTAATATTCTTCTTTATATAATTAAAAGTAATTCCCTATGTATGTATACCTAATCGAGTTTTATCTTTAATTTCAGATGCTATCGGTACAGACTGCCGGCTGCGCGGGAATGGAACGGCTCGGCGTTCCGACCCGCACATCGCTCAATACACCTCCCGATGATAGGTAAGTTAAATTTAATTTCAATAATTTAAAAATTAAACATTAATTTTCTATTTCTTGTTGTTTATTTAGGGGGCAATTTAGTTGTAGAATGCGTGTAGAAGCACTCCAAGCACGTGAGCTTTTGGCAGTACGTGGTGAATCTGTGATTCGTAGCAACACTAGCAACAATAGTTTAAACAGCAGTAACAGCAACAATCATCTTCATCATCATTATAAGCAACATTCCCACCATCAACAACAGCAACATCAACATTACCAACGCATGATAACACCAAACGCAAACGGTAACTCTGGCAGTGGGAGTAGCAGCAGCAATACCACAAATAGTATTAATAATAGTAGAAGTGGCAGTAGCAATAGCACGACGGCGGCAACCAACAATGGCAGTAGCAATATAGCGCGCGGTGGAATCGAAGCCACCACGCTTAAGTACGGCAATACTGGCAGTGGGAGCAGCAACAGTGGCAGTAGTAGTGGCAGTTCATGTGGTAGTACTGTTAGCTCAGTAAATAGCCATAGTCACGATCATCATCAGCATTATCAACATCAATTACAACAGCAACAAACACTGCGTTGTCCACACCATGTGCCACTGCCTGATAGCGAATGGGGACAAGATCGCATATTGCCACTACGTACAGGTTATCAGGTAAAAAGCAAATAAATTAAACACATTCTCTAAGAGATACTTAACCAAAAAATTCTTTTTTGTTTCTCTCTCTCACTCATAGCAATCGGAAATAACTCGCTCCTATATAAAACCGCCTCCAAACAAAACAGTTAAAGACGTTCCAGAACAATCATCCTATAACTTTTATACGCTCGCCACGCATACAGCGCAACAACAACTGCATGCCGGTACTGGTAGCAATAGTTCCACACAACAACAACAACAACAACACAAATCAAAACCCAATGCAATAACAAAACTATTCTCACGTAAGAGTTCACCTAAATCACCAACAGCATTATCAGCCTCATCAACATGTTCGTCGCTAGCATCATCGGCGTCAATCACATCGCTTCCCATCTCCAAAGCAGCAGCACTGCAAACGACCGCCTGCAGTTATGGTGGTAGCTCAACGCAAACAAACCTTCCAACAGCGAATGCTGCAGGTATAAATAATATCTATGCCGGACTGGCACCAACAACACAACTACTAACAACAATCAGCGTGTCTCCAACGGCAGCAACAGCAACAGCAACAACAGAACGCATACCGACACCGCCCCTGTCAGTAACGGTGCCAATTGCAAGCTATCAGCAACAGCAACAACAATTCAAACAATTCCAACAGCAACAAATGTTGCTCGACAATATCGTAGCGGAGAGTGCAGCAACATCATTGCAAACACTTAAGAGTAGCAATTGCAGTTTAAATTCTACAAGCTCAATCGATCGCAATGAAGCAGCTACAACGTCAACTGCAGCTGGAGCATCAGCAGCAGCAGCAGCAACTAGTATACGTCGTAACAGCAGCAATGCTAGCATGAGTTGCAATTGTAATAGCAAAAACTGCGCTATATGCACAACTGCAACAACTGGCGCATCATAACATGTATAGGAACATGTTGAGTTGGGATAGCAACATTACTACTAGTAGGCCAAAGAAAATGTATTTTATTATGGCAAAATTTAATGCAACTAAGGTAAAGACTGTGCAAAAATTTATGTCAAAATTATGTATGTATGTTGTTCGTTGTTAGTGCTTATAGTAAAGCAAAATATTAGTAATATTGTAGTTAATATTGATGTAAGTACGTTGCAGCAACATGTTGCTACTGAATAGTTGCTTTAATAAATTGTGTGCTACACTCAAGTATTTTTCAATTTCTTTAATTCTTTTAACATAATTGCAAATAATTTAATTAATTTCATTTATTTTAAATGCAATTAAATAAAATTTACAAATTTATAATGTTAAACGCAAATCAAAGGCAATATTTAGTAATAATACTTAGTATGTGATTTGTTGACTGCTGAGTGTTGAGTGTTGAGTTAAAGGACTTTCACTATTTAGCGTAGCACTGTTAGCAACTTGTTGCGCCTAATTATTTAATTATTATTTAATAGAATTGTAAATTATTATTATTAAATTGTATATATAATGTAAAGAATTTTTGTAATATTAAGTGTATTTTTAATTTAGTAAATTAGCAAAAATTATATTATATATTAAAATTAATTCAAAATTAAATGATATGCATAGTTAATAAAGTAAATATTATTTCTTTTAATAAATATTTAATTGAGAATTTAATCATTTGTTTTTATTTTATAATTTTTAAATTGGAGCTTCCATTTATACTTATCTAATAATTTAATTATAATTTCAAATTGCAAATTATTTTGTTTTTAATTTATTTTATTTAGTTTTATATTGATTTGTACCTGAGTTCTACTCCATTTTAATACTATATTTTATTGCTTATTTTTAATTTAATTAATTTTCAAAAAAAGAAATTAAAAAAAAACAAGTCTTAATGCAAAAATGGTTTCACAGACTACGATCCAAACTAAAAAAAAAAAAAACAATTTTTATTATATCCAAAATTTATATATATAATTATTTAGTAATTTAATAATTATTAAAAATTACGAATATATTAAAATTATAATAAATTAATAAAATTAAAAGTCTTGAAAATTTCAAAAATAATATTTGCGCCCTTTTATGTGTTTCGATGTCTATTATATACTCGTATATAAACTATCTATCAATCATTGTCTGTCTGTCTAAATAGAAAACTATAGAGAAACGAAAACGAAAACTTGATAAAAAATAATCAGATTTATTATTTAGTATTTAAAATATTTCAAACAAAAACACGATGTCCTACATGAAAACAAAATAATTAAAGAAAAAAATAAAAAATTAAGAAATAATAAAGCTGCAGCTTTAGCTAAGAATAATCGTATAAGTAATAGCATAACTTAATGTTTCGATATAAGTTAAAGTCAACTTAATTAAATATTTTTTATTTCTTTATTTTTTAAAACTAAAAGACTGCTTAAAATTTCACTTGTAGTAGAAAAAGAAGTTTTAAAGAAAATTATTAAGCAATGGACGTTCTTCTCAACTAATAGAGATATATTAACTTAACTATTGATCGAAAGGAAGAAGTACAAAATTAAAATTCTCTTTAAAAATAATCACCAATGTTTTTTGAAAATCAATAAGCCAAACCTTGACTGTCTTTGTAATGTTGTAGTAAGAAGAGTGTGAAACTCTCCTGGGACAGTGAATGTCCCAAGAATACTTTAATGGGTTTAAATGATTAATCGAACATCGATTCCAATTATTTCTTTCGCACAGTTTTATTGCCAGATCTACAAGATTCTTGAGAAACGGTTTCAATGCAACTCATTTTTGCCTTCAAAGAGCAGGGCATAAGTGAATTGAAAAATACTTTTTTTTCTCTGTCTAGGAGAAGTAATATATTTTGAGAAATTTTTATTCTGCTCGCCTGCACTTCAACGGAAAACAGAAGTCAGTTATTGCTGCTGGTAATCTAATAAGATTTCAAACTATTTATCTTATAGTTTGATAAGATCTCCTTCTATTTATGACTGATAATGTTTATTTGAGATTGTGTTCAAACTATAGTGCCCTAATAGTTATACATATTGCAAGACTTTTAAATTCCGTTATTCAAAATATTCTATATAAAAAACTCGTTTAATATTAGTGTTACAGAGCTTCTTGAATGGCATTTCCTTACCTTAACAATTCATCGGTTTTTTTAGTTCTTTTCTACATTTCGATGCTCTGAAACCGAAATCAGAGAACGGTTCAAGTTATGTTATGAGTATTCCTGATATCTTTATGATAATCATAAATAAAAGTGCAGACCTTTTATTTAAAAAAAAAAATTATAAAAATGTATAAAATTTCAGAAAATGTTATTTTGCAATAATGAAATCAATAAAATTGGCCTCTTTCAAATCAAATGCAATACATATTTAATGACGAAGATTGGCTAGGCTTGGCTACAAAGCACTGTTGAGTAAAACTGCTTTAAACACTAACTGACGTCTTATCAAACAAAGAAGAAAAAGAGTAGAGGACTAATTTTGGTTCATTATTTTTCTAACATTTTAATTTTATAGAATTATGTTATCTATAAATGAAGACTTTAAACATGGTCTACCTTTTGCTTTCTTACCCACATTAAATATTATTCACAGTTTACTGCTATAAAAACTTTGAGCAAAATACTAGAATTAAATAATCTGACCATATACAATTTATGCAATTATATTAGCAGTAAGGTCTAAAGAATTCTAATTTGAATACACTAATAATTTTTTTTGTTATAATGGAAAATATACACTAAAGCACACCTAAAATTGCGATTATTAATGTGAAAGCATTAATATGGTATATAGGACACAATATCCTATATATCTCTCTTAAAGAGATATCTTAAGAATTATCCTTAAGTCCCTCTCATTAAATAGACTTAACATACACAAATGTTAGCATATAACCTTGCACTAAAGAGTTACTCGTCAAGTATAAAAACATCTATATCCAACCGCAACAGTACTTCATATAATGCTTCCCTTCTATACTCAAGTCCCACCACACTTAATGTGTGACCAATTACACCTCTTATTGATATGGTTCACACATCTGTTCTAAGGCTCGTTTCAATTACCTATTCGCTGATACCAGCAAAATATACTTATTTATTTGATCTCTACGGACCTCTCTATATACCCCATTTCACCCACGTAGTTGCTTTTTAATTTATTCATGCTTCTGTAACAGATTTTCTTCATTGCACATTACTTTTCTACTATAAAATTTAAAAATTTAAAACTGCATAGCTTCATGATATTGAACGTCTGAACTTTATAGTATGAAAGCTTTTAGTTCAGAAGAATTATGTGTATAATCCTTAACTATCTTAGAGATTTGGTATTTGCATAGGTTCCTTTTTAATCTTACATCTTCAAACAAATTAGATACTTAAATTAGATACGTTTAAATTTTGTAACATCAATAGAGTTACCTCTTCGACCGATGTCGAATATATGTGCTCCTTTAACATATATTATTTTTCAACTAGTTTGTATCATTTAACTAGTTTGTATCACTTAACTAGTTATGGTTTTCAAATACTTTTATTTGGTTAATTGTTATTGTAAATAATGTCATTCTCACGTGTCTTAGCAGCGGTTAAGAATGGTGCTTTAAATTTTTTGGGTTTAAGTACATTCGACTTAGAATGTTGGATTAAAGAATTTTGGATTAATCAATTACAATATTTGAAAATGTTCAAGATGCCTGAAAATATTTGAGTCAGTCGAAGTCTCATCTGCTTACTTTTTCCTATTTTTTTTATTTTGTTTTAGACAAAATCTTATAATAGGTAATACTGAACATAATATGATGTTAAAACAACTTCGAAGAAATATTAGGAATTCTCCTGATGAAGGTAAAAGCAAATTTGCCGAAATTCGAAAGTTAAAATCCTAAAAAAACCGACTTTAAATATTTTCGAACAATTCTATATGGTCGACCCAACTCCTAGACAACATACAAGACTACCCAAATACCGAAGACTTCGATTCACTCGAATATCAATTAAAGTACTAGTTTAAAATTTAACGATTGGTGGGTGATACTGTATAATCGTCGCAAGTCAATGGTTCTTAAGCGTTATTATTTTTTTTAATTAATTTAATTCGTTTCATATAACTATGATTTCAACTAGTTCTGTGTTTTTTAAAATTTAGTTTTTGTTTATTAACTAGTTCAAGTTTTTCTAACCCATAAACATCCCTCAATTAGTTGCTTTTTCAACTAGTATCGAAGCATTCTTCAAACGCAGCCTGAATATTATTAAAAATTTGCAATTAAAAAAGCAAATTATAATCAAATAATATTAATTTTTAAAAAAAAAAAAAAAGAACTTATAATAAAAATATATTTATTGAGTTTAACTTCGAATCAATTATAAAAGAATTTAAATCGAATTTTCATTTAACTACCATTTAAAATTAATTCAATTGAAATTTGATTTCAATTTAATTTATAAAAACAATTAGAACAACAGAATTAAAAATTTAATTAAATTAAATTTGTATAATTATTTGACTAATTAATTAAGTCTATGTTAAACTACCTCTAAAAAGAAATTAAAATAGAAAAAGGAAAAATATTAATGCAATCAATTTAATAATTAAAGATTGGTTATAGAAATTAAAAGCAACAAATCTAATGTCAAAAATAAATACATATATACAAATATAATTTAAATCTAAAACGATTTTAAACAATTAAGTATATTTACTTCATACAATCATTAAATGAAAATTTTAATTTCAATTTATTATAATATATTTTGGTAAATTAGCTTAAAACGGAGTATGCAGTTTTTTGCAAACAGTAGCAACGTTAAGCCTAATATTCACCAAGTGAACATTTTGCTCACAAGCGAAGACTAAACACTGTGTCTTAATTCGTAAACAAAATGTTTGCTTGATGAATAACAAAATTTTGGACGCTACAAATGAAAATCCAAACTGACATCACTCAATGCATATGAAAGATAAAATTTAAACCGTCGACTGATATATTGTTAAAAAAAAAATTCATAAAACAATATAACATATTATATAGAGAGAAAAATATATTATTTCTACATACATCTAAATATATATATAATTTTATTTATGTATTTATATATATATGTTTAAATATATTTATAAATTTAAAAATATTTTTAATTTTAGGCTTACAATATAAATTCCATTAATTCTGTAAATATTTGTAAACTAAAAACTATACATATATATATATCAATTTATTTATTAATTATACCAAATTGGCAATTCTGATTATTTATTTAATTTTAAAATTAGAAAAAAGCAACAATAATAAATCAAAAAATGCAATTAGTTATATTTTATTAATAATAATTGTTTTAAGTATAAATTCAAATTCTAATTCAAATATTCTAAATGAAAAAAATATAAACAAAAACATGGAAAACAATCGTTTTGTTGTCATTTAGAAAATAAAGTCTTCATCATATTTGTATTAGTCCGAAACATTAAATTATATATAAAACATACATATATTTAAGAAAATATATTATATATTTATTTAAAATGAAATATATTAAAATTAATAAAAATTAAGTTGTCAATTTTTAATTTATGCAAATAAATCA